TTTCAGAGTTCTTGAATATGGAGGTTGTGCATTTATAAGTGATGAAAAGATCAAGGATATCAGTCTTTGTGTATAACTGAGGTGGAGTAGAGTAGGTCATCAGAAGTGAGTAGATTGAGGAGCTGGGAGGTTAGAATGTTTGAGGGAGTATCAATATATATGTTGAGGACCCTAGTATGAGGACAAGAGTTGGGAAGGGTGAAAGATTATGAACATCCTGGAAATCTATAGACAAAAGCTACCAGGATTTTGATTGGGTGGAAGGTATTGATTGTATGGACTTCAAAAGAGGAAAAGTTACTTAGTAATAGGTGTTAAAATAGTAATTTTGTGAGATAAAGTCTAAAACTAAATATTGACAAATATTTGTTAGAATCTTATTTCTGTTATAAAATTTTTATTCCACTTAATAGTATCATATTTTTTCCAATTACATGAAAATATAATTTTCAGCATTCACTTTTACAAGATTTTGAGTTCCATTTTTTTTCCCCTCCCTCCCCTCTTCCCACCTCCCTCCCCAAGACAGCATGCAATCTGATACAGGCTATACATGTACCATCCTATTAAACATATTTCCACATTAGTCATGTTGTGAAAGAAGAATCAGAACAAAAGGGAAAAACCATGAGAAAGCAAAAACAAAAAAAAGAGAGAAAATAGTATGCTTTGATCTGCATTCAGACTCCATTCTTCTTTCTCTGGATGTGTTCAGCATTTTCCATCATGGAATTGTCTTCAATCATTGAATTGCTATCAATTGTCTGTCAGTGTTGGTCTTTGCACAGTGTTGCTGTTACTGTGTACAGTGTCCTCCTGGTTCTTCTCACTTCACTCAGCATTAAAATTTATAATATTAAAGGCGTCTGGACTTCTTCATTGCAAATTGAGGGGATTGCACTAAATACTCTTTAAGGCCCTCCCAGCTCTAAATCCTCTGATGCCATGTTTTTCCCTGGAGTTCTTGGATTTCCTCCTTCCCTCAGATAAGGAAACAGCAGGGAAATCCGCTCCTTGTTCTGAACTTGTTCCTGAAAGCTCTTTGTAAAAATGGAAAGGATTTATTGTCGTTCTTTTGTCCCATCTGAAAGCACAGTATTAACTAGGGCTTAGCTAAGATTCATTCTTTTTTTTTTTTTTCACATTAAATTCTATTTCTAAAAATTAAGTATTTATTTTCTCTCCCACTTCCACTCCTCTCCTTTGTTGGAAAAAGGAAAAGAAAAATATGCATAGTCAAGCAGAACTCATTTCCACATTGTGGCCAAAAATGTGTGTCTCATTCTGCGTATTTAGTCTATCACTTCTCTGTCAAGAGATGACAGCATTCTTCTTTCATCCTTTGTAGTCATGGTTGATCATCATGTTGATATGAGTTTCTAAGTCTTTCAAAGTTGAATCATTTACTTCTCAAAGGGAACTCTGTCCTGGCATATCTGTCTCCTTCTGGCCAAAGCTCAGTTCTTCATAGTCTCTTCTGTCCGTCTTATTCTTGTGATGATGAAGTATCATTGTGCTTTAGAGCTTGAAGGCGCCTTAAAGGTCTTCTTCATTTTACTGGTGAAGCCAAGGCTCAGAGAGACAAGTGTCACACACGGAGTTAGTGTCATAACTAGGACTAGAACTCATCTCATTTCAGCTCATCAGACATTTCAATGCCTGCTATAGGTAGTGTGCCCCTCACATGGCACTAGATATGAAAAATTTACAAATGACAGTTTCTGCCTTTGACAGGTTTGCAATTTAATAAGGAAGACTACATATATAGAGGGTGTTAGAGCTTTTTTTTTTTTAAGTGTTGTGAGAAATTTGAGGAGGAAAAGATCAGTTTTATTTCAAAGAACCTAGAACATGAAGAAGCTGAATTGAACCTTCAGTAAACCTGGCTCCCAGCCTACTGCACGATCCAAGATATCACCTGGATTCCAAAGTGATGCTCGTTTTAGATTTGGGGCTGGGAGATTCTAAGGGGTTTTCACTTAGACCTATATCAGTACCGTTTCCCTTTATGCTCTCAAATTGTCCTCCTCCTAAGTCAGTTCCCAGGATTAATCGTCCAGTATCCCAAGAAAGTCACTATTTATACAACTTACACTTCAGTAGGAGTCTTCAGTTGGTACTTGAACAGAACACATTTATTTCCTTTCTATGGATTCTTCCTTTGGAATGGGCATTACTGTCTTACAGCACCTCTTCTCAGTACCCTATAGAAATGGTTCTTAAACCAAAACTAATCTTAAGGAAGTTCCTATTTGTAAAGCACATTTGGGACCATGTAGTCCAGCGTATACTTTAAAAAGAATTTCCTCCTCAAAATACCCAACAGGTGGTCATCCACCCTTGGTTTGAGGAGCTATCCAACAACTCTTGTTGTCCTATCACATTGTATTTTATAAATATTTATTTGTCTGCATTTTATAGTCTCATCTCCCCATTCCTTCCAGTTCCGCCTTAAGCACCTTAAGAGCCCAAGGATATGTCACTTTCATCTTTATATTACAGATCCTTGTACACAGTAGATATTTTAATAATTAACAAATGTTTGTTGCATCCAAAGTGATCCTTTGAACTTTTTCTTTCATCAGTGATTTGTCTGCTTGCTTCCCTGTTCTCTACTTTAGATTGTAAGCTCCTTGAAAGTAGGACCTATGAGTGTGCCCTCTTACTCTCTATCTCTCTCTGCATGTGTGTGTGTGTATAAAAAACAAGTCTCTGCACATCCTTCATAGGCAAAGAAACATTTGCTGAATTGAACTGGTGAGGAAAGTTAGGGCATATTGAGTAATTATTACTCTCTCTCCATTACAGATGAGTGAATGCATGAGTAGTGGTGGAGCCTAGACTCAAAACTATCTCAAAGAATTCAGTGTATGACTCTTTCCACTCTTAAGACACATTAGTTTTACAGGCAGAACTCACTTATCAGGTTCCCTCCCCCCCAAAAAAAAGAAAAAAGAAAAAAAGATCTTGTCATGATCCAAACAGATCTTGATAGGATAGAAAATTGGACTAAACCCTGTAAGACTCATTATGGGTTAAAAAAAATCAATTTCATGAGTACAAAAATCATGCAAAACAATATTAGAAGTTTGAGGAATTAGAGTTCACTTTCAGCTGGAGGGGATGGTGTCCAAGGAAGGCTTCATACTGTAAGAGAGATGGGACTTCAGTGGACAGATTAGGTAAAGAAGTCATTCTATATATACTAGACATCATAAACAAAGGCAAAGAAATGAGAGAGAATGAGAAGAGGTTATGGAAATAACCCTGTTGGATTAGAATTAGAATGGATGGAGAGGGTATAGTATGTGATAAGGCTGGAAAGGTCAGTCAGAACTAGATCATAGAGGACTTTCAACAGGAAAGACAGAGCCTCTTAAGGATTTTGGGGCTGAGGAACAATAAGATTAGCACAGTGCATTAGGAAGATAACCAGGGTAGTTATGTGTATTCAAGACTGATAGATAGTTATGATAATCCTGGGATGGTCCAGACTAGTGTATTGGCAGTGTAAATTGGTGAGAGGTGGGGAGGGAGGACCGATATGACAGAATTAACAGGATTTGGTATCTCATTATCTGTTCTGGGAAAAGCAAGGTTAAAAATTGCTTGGGTTTTAGTCTAGGAGCCTGAGACAATAGTCTTAGTAGAACTAGGGAGTTGGGGGTCAGGGGGCTAAGTTTGAGAAGGAAGGTAATGAGTTCAATTTGGATATATTCAATTTGTGGTTGCTGACAGGACATTCAGGTAAAACTATCCACATCACAAAGTTATAGCTGGAAGGACCTTAGAGATCATCTAATCCAATTACCTCATTTTACAGATGGGGAAAGTGAAGCCTAGAATGGGGAAGTGACTTGCCCAAGATCACACAGCTAGCCAGATAATGAATGCGAAAGTACTTTGTAAATGGTAAGGAGTTATACAGATGTAAAGGGTGGTTGCTGTTGTTTTTATTGGTCTCCTCTGTTTTGAACAGGAGCCCTGGGCCCCTATTGGTAGGTCTATACTGCTTTCTCCTTTACTGTTAAAGAAATACCCAGGGCCCAGCAAAACCATAGCCAAGCACAGTAGGTAGTCTTATTTCCTTATCTACTTACTCCTTGACCCCCCATCCTCCCCTCACTGCAGCGATAGACATAAAATTTTTATGTCTGTTCTATATAATGAGAACATTTAGTGCTGATGCTGAGATAGCACTGTTTTTCCAAGGAGTTCCCAGATTTTAACAAAATGTCCTTCCACCTCCTCATGAACCCCTGGGAATCAGGAAAGGGAGGAATGTTCCACCTGTTTTAAAGGTCATAGAACCATAGAAGTCAGAGCTGGAAAAAATACTTGGAGATAGTTTTATCTCGCCTTCTCTCTTTACAGAGGAGGAGATTTAGGCCTAAAAGTACTGGGACTTTCTAAAGTCCACTGCTAGCTGAGCCAGTTTTTCTCAATCTCAGTCCATCACTCTGCTTTCCTCCCTACTCACAGAGTTAATCTCAGCAGCCATGATCAACCCATATTATTGTTTAAAATAATAGTAATTGCTCACATTTTTCTAGTATTTTAAGGTTTTCTAAAGCATTTCTCTCATAACCACCTTGGGCCTTAGTGTAAGTGACTAAAGAAATAGAAGTAAAGGAGGGAGGTGTAGTATATGTATTATTTTCCTGTCTTTACAGTTGAGGGAACTGAGATTTAGACAGGGTAGTGACTTGCTCATAGTCTCACAGCTGGAAAATATTAGGGTTCAGTTTCCTCAGAAATAAAATGAGGGTGTTGAACTAGATGACCTCTAAGGCCCCTTCCAGTCCTCAATCTATGATTCTATGACTCTGACTCTGAATATGAACTTAGGTCTCCCAATTCCAGCTCCAGCATTCTTTTTACAAGATAATGGTCATTTTTTGTTCTGCCATAAATGATGGAGTTTGACTCATTCTTGCTTCTCTGTCTCTCTCTCTCTCCCTCCTTCTCTCCCTTTCTCCCTCTCTCCCTCTCTCCTCCAGTTCTACAGTGCATCAGGGATGCCTACCAAGCATCTGTCAGACAGTGTCTGTGCAGTGTGTGGCCAGCGGATCTTCGTGGATGTCAATGAAGAGGGAATCATTGAGAACACATACAGACTGTCCTGCAATCATGTGTATCCTGCCCAGAGTCCATACACCTTCCGTTAGGCTTCCCTTTTGGCCATGGAAGAACGAAAGGGTGGTATCCATGTCACCAGACTGAGGCCTGCATCTATGACCCATGCTAGCCACAGGTGGGGAGTGGAGGGGACCAGCAAACCAATTAAATTCAGCAAGCATTTATTAAACACTTACAGTATTCAGAGGTTTGTGCTCAGCACTGAGGGAGATACAGAGTTTAGATAAGATATTATCTTTCTTCTTGTAACTCACAGTCTCCTGGTGGGGAATAAATTGTTCCAAGAAAGAATGGAAGAAATCCTTCATGGAGGAGACAAATAAGACAGCAAATGTGATAAGACACAAGGGAATTCTAACTTGGTTGTAGAATAGAAAACTGTGACAGGACAAAAAAGGGAAGAAGGAAGACCACCAAACATTTGGAACTAAGCACTAGAGTTAAGATTTTTCCAGTCATGGGTAGAACTGGACCATCTGATATGGATCTAAACGGGCCATTAACTGAGAGAGCATCAGAGAGAAAAAGATAAGCTGTGGTGACTGGTGACTTCTTGCTGAGAGGTACCAAGGTGGCTATTTGTTGACCTGTAGCACACAGTAAAGTGGTCTGCTCTTTTTCCTGGGCATGAACTTGAGAAGTGTTAGAAGGCTTCCAAGAGTTGTCAGACTCAGTAATTACTATACATTTAAGGTTATCAAGGTGAAGACAAATGATATATTAGTGTGATGAGAAAAGTCACCAAAAGGAACCTGGGAAACATTGCTAAGAACTATGAAATCCTGGACAAAAAAATAAAAATGAAGACCTTAGGGTGCTCTCATAACTATGAATGGAAGGGAGGAGATTAGGAAGAGGAAGGCAGATTTGGGAAATGACTATCTAGCTAAGAAGATGGTGTCAGAGAGCAGGATTTGGAATTCTTAGCCACAGTTTAAAATAGAAAAATGATGGATTCTTCATCAGGGATGGCGTATACCTAAGAAAAGCTACCTTTTTAAATATTTACGCACAGTCTTAAAACTGTAACCTGTAGAGTTTTAAACTGAAAAAAGTTGAGGAGGGGGAAAAAGCTACCCTTGTACATATGCAGTGATGGGTACCACTGGAAGAAGGATAACAGAAGAGAGGACCTGTAACTTATACCATAGGAAAGAATATCCAAGAAGAAAATTCAACTTTTTATACACAAATGTACAAAGTATGGGTAGTAAGCCAGTTGAACTAGATATCTAAACCTAAGGAGGCCAATTTGACCTTATGGATCTAGGTGGGATATGGTAGGATAGAACTCAATACTGAGAAATGGTTCTAGAACTGCATACCTTCTTCAAAAGGAATATAGGTAGAACGAATGATTTAGTAGCATTATATATTAAAAAGATATACCTAGGTTGAAATCTGGACACTGAAGACTAAAATATGGTAGGAAGCATTTGTATGGGAAGAGATAGTGGGAGGAGCCATTATAAAATGTTACTGTCATGGAACTGTGCTATGAACAACCAAGAAGAAGGAGAGATTTGATGAGGTATTCAGGAAATCAATCACAAACAGAAGCATGATATTATAACGATGGGGGCCTTGATCTAGTTGTCTGCTTGAGGTCTGTTTCTGCCAAAATCAGACCATAACTTAATGATTTCATCTTTCTAAAAGGTAGAAGAAGCAATAAAGGGAACTGCTATTCTGGGGCCCAATTCAGACAACAAACCAGTAGAAACTGATTACTGCAGTACAAGAGCTTTGGAGGAAGTGACCGTTCCATTATAGAATTAATGCTAGGAATGGAGAGCTAAACTGGGCAGAATATGCCTTATGTCCCAGATTTTAGGTGAGTGGATTTCAAAGGATTCAGACAAAGGGAAGGTAGGCTCCCATGGCCTAATATTCTGGAGGGGAAGTTGGCTCAAGAGAGACAGAAATGTCTCCGTAATACAATTCTGAAGAGACTAGCATAAATTATTTCCATGAAAAGGAAAAAGGGGAGTTGCCTAAAGAAACTAATGTGGCTGAACCAGATTATGTAAAAACAAGTACAGAAGACGCAAAGGCACATAAAGATTAATAAAGAAGTGTAGCACAGACCTATAAATGTAATAACAAAAGCGCTAACATCTGGATTGACGTGAGGCTGCCGATAAATACTAAGGACAACAGAAGGAAGTTGTTTTTATTTATGAGGAATAAGAATTCCCTTAGAGCATAGGACCTTTACTTGGAGTGGATGGCATGATAATAACAGTATAAATGATTCAACTTTTATTTTCTATTTTTTCTTCTAAGGGGAATGATCTTTGGTATTGGCAAAGAACAAAAATGGTTAGCAAGTAAATAAGGCAAAAGTAAAGCAGCATCTAACTGTCCTCAGTTCATGTCACAAGGGCTGACCAAACTACATCCTAACATACCAAAAGAACTGGCATATATCAGTCAGCTAGTATTTATTAAGCACTTACTACATGGTGGCTAAATGGCGAAGTGGTTAGAGCACTGGGCCGAGTCAGGAAGACCAGAGTTGAACCTGGGCAAATCACTTAACCTCTCTGTGCTTCAGTTTTCTCAACTGTAAAATGGAGATAATAGTACCTACTTCCCAGAGTGGTTGTAAAGTTCAAATGAGAGAATACTTGTAAAATACTTAGCACAGTGCCTGGCACATAGTAGGTGCTTAATAAATATTTGTTTCCTTTCTTCTTACTGCTTGTCAGTACAAAGAAAGGCAAAAACCCTGCTCTTGAGGAGTTCACAGTCTAATGCAGGAGACAGGATATGCAAGCCAGTATGTATAAACAAGATATAGACAGGATAGATTGGAGATGATTCACAGAGGGAAGGCACTAGAATTAGGGGGGTTGGGAAAGGCTTCCTGTAGAATGTGGGACTTTAGCTGAGACTAAAAGGAAACTTGGGAAGCCAGGAGGTGGAGATGAAAGGTACAGAATTCCAGGAATGGGAGATGGCCAGTGAAAACGCCCAGTTAGCAGATAGAGTGCCGTGTTTGAGGAACAGCAAGACGCTAATGCCAGTAAGTTACAGTACATGAAGGGAGAAAGGTAGAAGACTGGAAAGGTAGAAAAAGGCCCAGTTATGGAAGGCTTTAAAAGCCAAACAAAGAATTTTATATGAGGTCCTGGAGGTGATAGAGGAGGAGATTCAGCTGGAGTTGAGTGGGGGGGAAGAGGTGTTTGTGTAGTGTGATATCATCAGACTTGCACTTTAGGAAGATCAGTTTGACAGCTGAGTGAAAGATGGACTGGAGTAGAGAGAGACTTTAAACAAGACCACCAATCAGCAGGCTATTGCAGTAGTTTGGATATGAAATGATATGATTACTGAGAACCCATCAGTGATCTTTGAAAGGTCTTGGAGAGCCATGTCAGAATTGATAAAAGATAAGTGTCCTGATTTGCCAAAAAGTGGCGCAGAGGTGGTGTCCAGTGAATTTTATATTCCTGGCATAAGTTTAGAAAACATTAAAGGAATGGCTTGTGAGCATTTAGAAATGGGACCTGTGATCACTAATAATTCTTATGGCCTCATGAAGCACAAGTCTTATGCCAGATTAAACTTAATTCGTCTTTTTTTTTGACAGGGTTACTAAAGCACAGGAATTCTGAAGACATGGTATCCTTAGATTTTAGCAAAGCATTTGACAGAATTTCTCATTCTGTCCTCATGGACAAGTTGGAGAGCTGGACTTGATAAATAGGGTAGTTACATAGACTTGTTGAAAGATCAAACCCCTCCAATAATCATTAATGGGTTGATATTAGTGGAGGTGCCTCAAGGATCTGTTCTTATCCCTCTGCTTGTCAGTATTTTATTAGTGACTTAGATGTGGGGTGTGGATGATATACTCATCAGGTTTATGGATGACAGGGATTAGTGGAGGGATTAGTATCCAAAATGATTTCAGTGTAGAACAATGGGATGAATCAAATATCAAATTGAATAAGTATAAATACAAAATTCTATATTTGTTTTCAAGAAAATCAACTTCATAAGTACAGAGTAGGAGAGATGTGGTTAAACAACAGACAGCATGAAGAAGATGTGGAATTTTTTTGTGTCCTGCAATTTTGGTATGAGTGTGACATGGCAACAATAAAAGCTAATTATATCCCATGTTGCATTGAGCAGCTTAGTGTCCAGGGCAAGGAAAGGGATTATCAGACCCAGGTCAACTGCATCAGCAATATTGTGTTCACATCAGGGTGCCACGTTTTAAGAAGGTCGTAGACAAGCTGGAAAGCATCTACAAGAGGGTGACCAAGTTGGTAAAAGGAACTGGAAAACCTGTCTAGAGGATAGAGGAACTAGGGATGTTTACCCTGGAGAAGAGAAGATTGGGGGGGGGGGAGACAGTAGTCTTCAAATATTTGAAGGATTGTCATGGGAAGAGGAATTCAACTTGTTTCATTTGGTCCCAATCCTGAGGGCAGGATCAGGATCACTGGGTCGAAGTCATAGAGAAGAAGATTTAAGCCAAATGTCAGGAAAAACTTCCAAATAATTAGAGCTGTCTAAAAGAGGAATCATAGTGCAAATAGGAGGGACAACACATGGTGTTATGTGACTTCAGGCATCTGATCCAGAAGTTCTGGAGAGGAAAATGCCTTGACTTGACCTGAAGAGTCTCATATTGAGTAGAATCTGACTGCTCACTTGGAATATCAGTTCTTGCTGAGATTAGGTACTGAGAAAGGGAGACTGGGACTTCAGTGGTGTGGGGAGAGGAGGAGGAGGAATAGGGGGAAAATTGTCCTTTAGAAAGCACTGGACAAGGTAAAGAGTGGGGGTCAGTGGCTTGGGAGAAACTGCCAATTGCTGGCGTAGCTACTTATTTCCCACCAAGGGGGTGACACCAACCTAGATGACAGAGTAGGTCTGGGGAGTGTTTAATTTGAGGAATAAAAGATGTTTAGAGTAGAAGCTTCATTTTATCTAACTCCAGATATTAAAGGGCTGTCGTGTGGAAGGTGGAGCAATTAGACTTGTTCTACTTGCCCCTAAAGAACAGAGAAGGAAGAGAGAGAAGGTTGCAAAGGGACAGATTTAGGCTCAGCATATTGAAAAACATCTTCTAATAGAGCTGTCCAAAGATGAAATGTGCTGCCTGGAGAGATAGTGAACTCCCCACTACTGAAGGTCTCCAAATGGAGTCTGAACAATGGCTGGCTTGGGAGACTATGAGGGAGGATTCGTGGCTTTAGTTCATTTCAGTTTAGTCAAACTAGATGGCCTCTGAGGTCTTTTTCAGTTCTGAATCCTTGATTGGGATCAGTGGCTGTTAGCTCCCTTACCTGGACTCAATACCTAAAGTTGACTCTCACAGCTCCTGTGGTGACTCGTGCCATACAGCCTTTCGGTAGAAGCAACATGTAAGATGCAGGGGGGGTGGAAAACTTATTTAAGCTGATTGAGAGTGAACTTGTCCTACTCTAAAGAGAATGAGATCGACATTTTGGGCCTTCTGGTAGGATCTCAGATGGTCAGGCCTAGAGCCCCATGAAGAAAAGAGATCATTCTGTGGCCTCTAACAGGCCCAGTGGATCCTAGTGGTTCCCTCTTTAGTCTGAGATAGAGGAAGACCTTCCCAACTATATCTCTGCCCTTACAGTGGTTACTGTGGCTTTCCAGCCATGCTGTAAGGTCAATCTCATGCTGGCCCAGAGCCAGACCACGGTGGGGGATGGGACGAACAGAGAAATGTTAATCATTTGGGGATAAATTGAGCTGGCCCAAGGCGGGTTTTTTGTCATGACGAATGAGCTCACTTCTCTCTCCTAGTTTCTCTTAACCACCATGTGTCCTCAGATTTCACGAGTTCTGCATCCGTGGATGGTGTATCGTGGGAAAGAAGCAGACATGTCCTTACTGCAAAGAGAAGGTGGATCTCAAGCGGATGTTCAGTAACCCGTATCCTTTTGGGCCTGGTCTCGGTCAATGGATTCCCTCCCAAGGATTCCTTCTGGAAGGCTGGGCAACAAAGGAATGGGATGAGCTTACAAGGAGCACTATGATGGGATGTCTTGGTCTGAAGTCAAAATAAGCTTCTCTCCAGCTGTCTTTGGCTTCTTGCTAGTGAAAGCAGAGCAAGGCCCACACACTGGTCCTCAAAATTACTTTCTTCAGTCCTCCCCCTCACTGCATCTGTCTCCTTGTCCTTTCTTAACCTCTTACCCAGACTTCTTACTGAAGCTTCCCCCAGCCTTTTAGCAGTGTTGACTCTTAATTCCCAATGACATCTTTTCAAGAATGGATCTATCAAGTATGCCGTTTGAGAGAGTCTCAGCCCCTCAGGCTGTGTTGCCTCTCAAGATCAAACCTGTGGTGCGGCAGGAGATGCTACTCAGAGGCCCTGCTAAGGTCACTACAGCAACATGACACCCTCTTGTTATCTAACTTGGTATGCACTTGCTCCCCAGGAACTTGGGCATTAAAGCCTTGGGACCAGAGCCCTTTTGCCTCTTCCCAAAGTCCTCTCTCCAGACTCTTCAGCAGGAAGTCACCAATGGCAACTCATTCTCAGGCCAGTTTATTGAGACTACCAACATTCCTTCACTGTGGGCATAAAGATTCACAGCTCAGCCCTGAAGGGACCTCTCAAGATGTCTCCCTTCAGTCCCTTCCCAGCTAAGAGCTAGCTCTGCCTGGCTTTCCTTCATAGTTCTTCATTGTTTCTAATTTCAACCCCTCTTAGTTTCTTGTCACTGAAAGATAATAGCAATCATACCAGCTGGCAGTGCATTTGCATTTTACCCTTTCCAAAGCCACCTCATATGATCTCATTTGAACCTTACAACACCTTTTTGTAAAATAGAGCAGGGGTTATTTTATAGATGAGGAAATTGAGGCAGCATCAGCTGAAGTGACTTGCCTAGAGACTGGCTAGTAAAGGGCAGAGCCAAGATTTGGGCTCTGAAGTCCAGTGCTTTTTCCATTACATCACAGCAGGGGACAACCCTGGTTCATTGTCCCCTTTAACCACACTCTTAAGTGCTCCACTACTCTAATCTCTCTGTAGCTGCTATCAGTAACCCCATACGTATGCCTCACTTCTTTTTCTGTAGCATTACAAAACACTTGAGTCCCTGTGAAGGTGGGTAGGTAATGTAAGTGTTGTCAGTATTTTACAGATGAGTAAATGGATTCACAAAGGTAATTTGCACTTGATAATACAGAATGAATTATAGCCGAGATTTGAACTGAGGTCTTCCAATGGCAGGAAATTCCATGCTCTCTTCATTACACCATGCTGCCTTTTACAGATAAACTGCATAGTAGAGTTTTCAAAGTGCTTTTCCATCCATTGCCTCAGTAGGATGAGAAAGGAATATAGAGGTTTTATAGCATCCCCTTCCCAAAGCAGTCCTTCATAAAATATAAAAGTGCTATAAAAGTGGAGCCATATTGATTATTGGCCTCCCTGCCAGCCTCTGATGGGGCACCCAGCCCCTGCCGAGGATAGCTAATTATTATTAATAGCAATATTCATAGCTTATTTTTCTAGCACTTTAAGATTTACAAAGTACTTTATAGATATTTTCTCATTTGAACCTCATAATAACCCTATGAGGGAGATACTACAGATATTGTTGTTCCCACCTTTTAGGTGAGGAAACAGGCTCAGAGAAATTCATTGGCTTGCCTGTGGTCATGCAGCTAGTAAGTCCCAGGATTTGAACCCAAGTCTTTCTTACTCCAAGTCTACCACTTTACCTATTGTAATTCTAGGTATTGAGCTGAACTCTCTTTAGGTAACACTCCCCAGTTCCCTCCAATTGCTCTTAATTCTGTTGTCTGGAGCTGTCAAGGACATGTTTATTCCCTATTTCATATGACTCAAGTATTAAAGAGATAGATCACTTCAGTTTTCATTTCTCTAGTGGCCCAGCTTCCCATCCCCCAGCTCAAACTCTTCTGGTTTCACCAGCTGTGAGGACTGTTGACTCCCAAGGACTTTTCATCCCCCTTAGCTTCCTAAGTCTTCATTTGGGTAGACCCCTTCAGTTAGCTCTGCCTAGTCAAGATGAGGAGTTTTCAAAAGGAACTTTACTAGAGAAAGTACTTTGTAAATCTCTGAATCACTATGCAAATGAGGTGTTAATCTATGATCAGGTTTCATGTGTGTATCTGTCTGTCCTCAAAGTAACTACAGTCTAGCCTTGTATGGATTTGGCTGACATGTTTTCAGAGGAAATGGACTAGAAAGCCCATTCCTATTCCTTGTCTCAGCCCTAACAAGATTTTAGAACAGTGACACTCAACTCCACCTCTCGACCTAGGCCAGCTCCAAGACTAGTTAACTAGCCCCCTATTCTTGCCGTGACCGACCAGATAGCACCCTAAAGAGCTGCATTATAATAGCTCGTGTTTCCTCACAACAGCCTTGTGAAGTAGGCAGTGCAAATATTACTACTTTCATTTTGTAGAGAAAGAAAGTAAACATTTAAGTGACTTGCCCACCATCACGCATCTAGGGCATGAACTTGTATTTTTTTCTGACTCTGAGTCTCGTCTCTTCGCATTTCCAAAAACAGATCACTTCATTTCCTTTCAGCAAACCTGTACCCCTGTTTTAGCTTTCCAGATGAGTTTTTATTTATTATTCAAAAGTCTCCCCTAATTCTCACTTCACTGACAGAACTGATAGAACAGGTCTTGAGCCTATGAATAATCACAATATAGGTCACCATTATATCCAGATTATCTTGCCAGATAATTCTTCCTTTAGTTCCCTGGGAAGTGGTCGTTTCCAAGACCCTACTACAGGTTTAAACTAGCAAAACACACATATGCTTTCAACAATAAGAAAGGGTCTGTTCTTTACAGACACCAGTCACTCTCCCTCCCACCAAAAAAACCCCCAAAGTGTCACTTTTTTCAGAGTAAACTTCCCCAGCTCCTTTACTTGATTCTGATTTGATGTTTTCCAGGTCCCTCTCCATCCTTGCCACTTCTCTCAGAATGTGTTCCAGTTGGTCATTGCCATTCCTAAAATATGGTACTCGGAGGTGTAAACAATATTCAAGATGTCTGACCGGAGTAGAGGGCAAGAGGTGCTCTTACTGCCTTCATCCTGTATATAATGCTTCTATTCATGCAGCATTAGCATTTTTTGGTTGTCATGTCATCCTTTTTACCTGTATTGACCACTAAAACCTCCTCATTTTTTTTTCCCAACATGCATTGTCTTCTAGCTGCCTTCCCTATTCTGTGTCTGTACCACTTGTTGGGAATGTTAATGAAGGGCTTCTTCCTCAGGTGTGATTTGAATTAGATGTTCTCTTAGGTGTTAGATGTTCTACCAGCTCTGAAATTATGTCCCAGGTCAGTGTCCATGCTGCCCTCACTGTTGGCATCTCTAATTTCTTACAGGCCCTTACCATTATAACAGAAAGAAGAGATATTACAGCCTTCTTACTCAAAAGCTAGATATGCTAGCATCTCCCCCCTATTTTCCTCTGAAAATGAAGGAATTTTTCGTTACATAGCTTTAGCCTCAGACCCTCATGCTGTAGTTGAAGTCGGTATGTTTGAGGGGCACAGCTGCCTTGTGTTCCTTTGTAGTCTTGAAGGCCACAACCTTCCTCCCCACATCCCCACCTCTAGATTTTCTCTTCAAGTTAAACTAAGCCAATTCCTTTTCCCATCAGCATTATTTTCCTACTGTTCAGTCATATTCATGCATCACTCTCCAGCTTCTCCACAGCCATGTCTAATTGTAGAACTCCAGATAGATTGAGACCTCTTAAGTGAGGGTGTGATCATGGCCCTTCGTCTTTGGTCACACAGCATCTGCGAGGATGGCCTTTCCCCGTTCGTCCCTACCCTGAGAGCCAGTAGGGTGTGGTTCTTTCACCTGGCCCAGCTGGGGAAGAAACAGCAGCTTTGCAACTAACCCTGTCTGGCAGGCCAGAAAAGAGAAGGTGGGGAGGGGGGGTGTGGCAGCTTAAAGCAAAGCTAGAAGGTACCTGGAAGTCATCTAGTGCAGCCCCTCAATTTGTAGAGGAGAAAATGGAAGCCTGAAGAGGGTGAGTGACTTGTCCAGGGTAGTGTCCAAGCAGAGCTAGGATTTGAATTCAAATTCTCTGATCCAAGGAAAGTGCTATCCCTGGTAATCAGCAACTTGGGAATTACTCTTCAGATCTTTAAAGTTCGGTCTTGGCCCCTTCTTCTCATTCATACTCCTGTCAGCCTTAGCCCAGCATTTCTGAGATGGTTGTTTTGTCCTTCTCCCCTCTCTTTCACCTCTTCTTCATTCCTCTTTTCTCTCCTTTACCTCCTTCCCTTTTTTCCTCCCCCATTCCTCTCTTTTTCCCCTTCCCCTGCCCTCCCTTCTTCCCTTTCTCTTTATGCCTTCTCTGTTGTGTTTCCATCGCCATCTTGTTGCCCATATTGATGTAAGACCCTTCTAGAGACAGGGATGGGGAGTTGGGGGTGGAGGAATGGTGATGGGCAGCCATTAAGGAATGGTTTCAGTTCCTCTGTCACACAGCTTCTGTTGGGCCTCAGAAGCTTTCTCTGTGGAAGTTGTCTTATTATGGGGTTGTCAGGGAAGTTAGGAAGCCTAGTCTAGGCATGTCACTGACCAGGGAGGATCAAGTCATGAATCAGAAATGTCCCCTGTGGTCCTGACAGACCTGTTTGTTCTCCACCTGTGGCCCCTTTTCTTTAACCCACGTGCACTGAAGATGGGAGCGGCCTCACGTCATGTATGGACAGCTGCTTGACTGGCTCCGCTACCTTGTGGCCTGGCAGCCGGTCATCATCGGGCTGGTACAAGGAATCAACTATACCCTGGGTCTGGAGTAACTCCATGGAGCAGAAGGGAAGTCGGGGCACAGGGGTCTGTGGCCAGCAGCCCGAGGCCCAAGGCCCTGGGCCACACCAGCCCCCGCCCCTCAGCACAGCTGGCAAAGACTTTGTCATCCTCTACAACCACTTCCGAACACTGGCTCCCTCGGCTCCAATGGAAGACTTGTTTCTGGGGGTGTGGCAGTGAACCAGCCCATGGGGGCTCCTGGACAGGGAGGTTCTTTTTAAAAGAAAATTATTTTAATGACTATATTTAAAAACCTTTTTTATTGCAAGAATGTGAGGCAGTGACAACCACCCTCCCTTCCCCTCTCCCCACTTCCCAGTTCTCTTACCCTTCCTCATCCCTGTCTGCTGGCTTAAGAGCCCAAAACTGAAATGGGAAATGTGTGGCAGAACCCTGAAAGAATCATCATTCCATCTCCCCCCTGGAGCTCTTTGTAACTCCTAAAAGAGGGTCTCCCCAGCTGTGGAAAGAACCATATGATATGCACAGTTGGAGGGTTTCCCTAACAGCTACTATACCTGGAAATCTGGGCCTACATGAGGAAGTGTGCCCAAATCCCCCTCTGTGGCTAAGCAGTGTTGTCAGTCAGAATTCCTGGGTATTAGCATTCCAAAGAGCCAGCCAGACCACGAGGTGTCTCTGCTTAATGCTTCTTTGCTGAGGCTAGGGCTGCAGAAATGAAAGGACCTACAGCTGCCAGAGTACAAGGAGGCCACACTGCCTTTTGTACACTTAGCCACAGGATCCCATCTCCTCTTGAGGTGGTCACATAGCCAGAGGTGACAGTTGTGCACCTGAGTAGTGCTGGCTCTTCTGAGGTGCTCAGTTGGCCAGTGATATCTCCTTGGGTGCCTTCCCTTCTGGCCTTCAGCAACCTCCATCAGGTTGGGTGGGGCCCTCTTCCGGGGTAAATGATCACTGCTTGGGACATAGTTTTCCAAATCTGTGAGCCATCCTTTTCCCCTGGATCCTGCCCTGTCCCACCAGACATACCCACATGTACACATCCACACCCATCCTACCGCCTCATCCCCACTTCCTGATGTTTTCAAAGTTGGAAACCCAAGACTCGCTCCGTGGTTGGGAGATCTCAATTGAAAATAGTTGCATTCAGTGGTCCTTCTATAGGCCTGGGGAGCAGCATGGAGAGGGCTGAGTCTGCCCTCTCAGGAAGAGCTATCATGACCTGACCATGTGAAGTTACTCCTTCCTTTGGGAGTTCCTCATTATGGCCTGTTTTTTTGAGGGTGGAGTGGTGGTCTTTTTATGTTTATCATATGGGTATGTAAGCACCCTGAAAGAATCATCACTGTCCCTAAGTGGCTGGAGAGTTGTCCCCCAAGGCTTTGTGGGAACCAGAGAAACCAAGGCGTCCAGGAACTGGAGAGAAAGCCCCCACTGGGTCTTGATTTGGGTCAGGGCAGGAAAGTTTGAAAGCATGTGTCTTGAAGCAGGTTTTCAAAGTGAAATTGGAAGTAGTGACTGATGTGCCAAAGGTGAGAAGGAAATTGGGATCTTGGAGCCAAAGCTGAGTCATATCCTTCCTCTAGTAATGACTTTCCTAGATTCTTGGATCTGTGCGTGTGTTGCTGAGAATAGGCCAACCCAGGGAGGGAATCCCCGATATAAGAGCTGGGTACATTTGCTGCTTGGCCTGGCTCTTTACAGGGCCAGTAATGAGGGATGTGAGGGGAGAGGGAAGTTATCTACAAGGGCTCACAGACTAGAAAGCTGGCCAGTCAGCAGCTCTGCATATCTGGATTATCTTCAGCATCCCTGATCAGCCTAAAATTTGGGGGTAGAACCCTCAATAGGAAAAGTGAGCTTGAGCCCCACAAGGCTAGAAAGACTGGGGTGACAGCTTTTAGACAGTACCCACACCATGCTTCTTGAGGTCAGGAGTCATTGGTCCAGTTTAGATGGAGTATTGAACCAGAGATAAGAGAAAGGAGAGGACAGAGGATGGCCCCTTAGGAACTATGGGATTTAAACTAGGGACATCACTCTTCCCCCCCCCCCAACTGAAAGATCTCCTGACCATAAGGAATCTCTAAAGATGCCAGAACCCTTCTTTCTCCTTTCCCACACTCAGTTCTCAGGCTAGCTGAGGCTGCCACTAGTTTTAGGGAGGAAAGAAGAGGGAACACCAGGTGTCTGCTTGGGCTTCTGCACTAGAGGTCATGTCCCAGGCTGACCCCCAACCCCCATCCTCTACAGGGAGGGAGGGTCATTATTGATAGGTTTTTCTTGTTGTTGCAGTTGTTGTCGGGGTAGGGGGTGGGGATCATGGGAGGGCAGAGGCCAGACTGGAAAGTGGGGAGCCCTCAGCTTTTGGGGTCAACTCCAGGGCCTGGAGCCTGTCCCCTAGGGAGGTGGTGGGCCCAAGTTTTCTCACAACTCCAGTTTTAATAAAACCCAGTGAGCTGAGAGAAATTCCTGAGTTCCTTTTCCTTGGCTTCTCCCATCTCCTCTACTCCAGGAAGAAAGACTGACCCTCGCTGGCACCATGCCACCATGTTCAGAACCTTCTGCCTGCTTCCATAGCAGTGAGGCATGGGTTCATTTTTTCCAAGGTTACAAGATACTGACCAAACATGGGATCACTGTAACCAGAGGAGGAGCCACAGTCCAGGGCTATTTTCCCTGGAGACAGGGCCAAGCATCAGTCTCTGCACCAGCCTATTCCTGCCCACCTAGGGCTCTCCTTAAACCTCTATGCTTCAGGCCAAAAAAGTCACTTATCCTCACTGGGTCTCAGTTTTCTTATCTGTAAAATGAGGGCTTTGGACTAGATCTTTTAGTCTGTGGTTTATGTGTATTATTCAGGTGATGATTTTGCCAAAGCTGACACCCAAAGACCTAGCCAGCTATCCTTTCCTGTGGTTGCTGGTGTTCTCCCAGTCATTGTTCCTGGAGTAAGCTGAGCTAGTCCTCACTTCCCCAAGGACCAGATTTCTCTTGCCGTCCCCAGCTTACCCCCTCCCTATGACTACAGTCATATTGGGGCTAGGGGATTCACTATGTACTGTAACCCCCACTTACAGAACTCTGTTCTAACTTCATCAGAGATAATAGGAAGAGCTTATTCAGTGTCAAAACCATTGATCTCTAGGCCCTGCCAGTATGATGGGGAAGGCCCTGATCTGTCTTCCCTGCAGCCTGAGAAAATAGGTTTTGCAATGGAAAACTCAGAATGATGTCCAAGCAATTGGAAGCAACATAAAGATCAGTTGGTAAATATATATTGAGTGGAAGTAAGCCATGGAAGGCTTATTGGAAGAGGGAGTGTGGGAACTGACCCTCAGATGATGAGTGGGTGTTGGGTGGGAGAGAGGATGGAGGGCATTCCAGGTTGCAGGGTAGAGGTGAAGGGGAGGGAGCAAAGATGGAGAAGTGAAACTTGGCTGCGGTGCCTGAGAAGATACTGGCCTGAAGAAGGTGTGATGAGCCGCCCAAAAAGGGAGATTGAAACCAGACAGGAGAGGCTTTTGATCCTGGGTGTCTGAACTTTACCAAAATTGGCATGAGACTTGTTGAGTTCCACTTCCTCATCTGCTCAGAGTTCTCCAGGCCACCTGATCCAACCAGGCACAAAGGATGCTGGGCCTCACTTTGTGAGTACTGGAAGTTTGGAGGAAAAGGGAATGCATTACTGCCCTTGAGGGACTTACAGTATACTTAGGAAAACGTAATTCAAGATGGATGGGGTTATGTGGGACCCAAGATTGCTGGGGTCGAGGTAGGACATCTGAGGCCTCTCCACACCGGCGGAGGGAGCTGGCCAGACCAATGTGATGGGAGAACCTCTTCAATCCCTCCCTCAACCCTCTTTTCCCCACATCCATCTTCCCACCACCACAGTTATGACAAGGTTGACAAAGGAATTGAGAAGACTAAGAACCAGAAACATGGAGAGGAGAACAGGAGTGATCTTTTATATGCCTGATAGTTACAGGGCAAGTGGACATGAGGTTTGAGTCAGCATCAGGAAGCTCCCAGACCAGTGGGGAGAGAGTCACGCCTTCAATGTGTGAAAAGGCAGCAGCAGAGCTCACGTAGGCAGCCAGAGAAGCCCTCTCAGAGGGCACAACAAACATCTCCCCCACAGGAGAGGCTGGATATGACTGTAGAAACTATCCCTGAATAAGGAGGCCCAGGGATGAAAACGTTCCCTCCTTGCATTGCAGTGGGAGCCTCTGGCCATCCCCCTGCATCAGTGTTCCAGGACTGACATCCATCTGGCCGGTGCTCAAGGCTTTCATATCTGAGAGGAAGGCTCCAGCCACTGGCTGACCCCCTGAGGTGGCTGGACACCCCAGCTGGAAGACAATGGACTCGCCCTCAGACTTGGCTGGACTATATAGGCACCCCTTGGGGTAGAATAATGGGTAGCATTGTGTGTGTGTATTTGGGGAGTTGGAAGGGAGTCAGAGTAAAGATGTGAAACTAAGTCTGACTACGGGGATCACTGTGTGTCCTGGATGGGTTCCCTGGCTCCTGGTCAGAGTGAAAGTGAATGGGAGGAGCTTGAGGACAGGTTTCTAAATATTTTTAGGGTTCTGAGTTTGTACTCAAATTTTCCATTGTTGAGGAGGCTGGGGGTAGGGGAGTCGAGGCAGAACTTGGAGGACTCTGAGTCACAGTCCTAGTACCTGAGCCTCCTCTCAACCTTTCCCTGGCCCTCACTCCATCCCTGAAAAATTCCTCCAGTCCTTCATTCCCCACCCCAATCCTGAACCCAGTGAAGACACCAAATACCTTACCCCTCCCCAGCAGGCAGAGGATAAAGCCAAAGAGAATCAACATGGGACTGAGTGGACTCAGGAGAGACCTGTGGTTTGTACCCGGACAACAAGGTAAAGAAGCTGAGGGAGTCTGGTGCCTGAGCTAGGGTCATAGAACATAGGCTGGAGAACAGGAAAGAATGCTAGAGACCATCTACAGGAAAGGCAACATTTCTGGAATGGTCAATTTGTAGTCAGACAGGAAGATCCAGAGATGAAAGTGTGGAATTTGAAGTCAGAAAAATCCAAGTTTGAATGCTGCCTCAGACTTTAGTTGTATGACACTGATCAAGTCACTCAGATCTCTCTGTGCCTTTTTTCTCATCCATAAAATAGGGCTAAAAATCCCACCGTCCAGGTGGGATTGGGAAGCTCAATCGACATCGTACCTACTATGTGCCAGGCATTGTGCTAAGCACTTGACAAATATCTCATTTGATCCTCACAACAATCGTGCTTTGAGGTAGATATTATTAAACTGAGGCCAATGGAGATTAAGAGATTTACCCAAGGTGACACAGCTAGGAAGTATCTGGGGTCAAATTTGAACTCAGGTCTTCCTGACTCCAGGCCTAGCTCTCTAGAGTCACCTAGCTGTAAAGTGCTTTTCAAACCTTAAAATACAATATAAATGCTAGTTGTTATTATTAGCTGATGATTGAAGCAGTAATATGAAATATGATATTTTCAGAAACATGAAAAAATGGAAGTGACATTTGAGGAGAGGAAGCCAACCCCCTCATTTTACATCATTTCATGGGATGCTTGGTCATCTCGGATTGCAGCATCCGTGAAGAGCTGGGGTGAACAAACCACCATGAAGATCGCTGCAGCTTTTGCACTGAATCCTGTTGTAGAGCACGATTCAGAGAATCCCTCCCCCACTCCCTGAAGAGCCCAGCAGGCTCCATCAAGATAACATATCCCTTGCTCCTCAGTGACTTCTACGTGAAGGTGGATCAGGGAAGACAGAAAGCTGGAAATGTGGTCATGGGTAAGGCGTGCCTGAGGCTAGATGCTTGTGGACTGATTACTGAGAGGCCTGCCTGTGCACGACTCCAAGACTGTCAGGAGGTGCGAGGTGAGCAATGAAACAGCATCCCCCCAAAACGAAAGTGCCTTGCATTAGAAAGGAAATTACTCGTTACTGACGTGGGAGGCATTTCAGAATAATGTGCAGTCAAATCTTTTGCTAAAGCAAAGGTCAAAGTTAGTACTGAGCTAGATGAGAAGACACGGGGGTAATAATTACAGCTCCAACCCAGTCTATTTAAACAAGCCATTGACTCTGGAAAAGTGGGAAATGGACACCGATTCTGATTTTCACTGTTTCTTGAGAAGTTCAAAGGAAGTTAAAAAAAAAGTCACCATAAAGAGTCCAGAAATCGCCTTGGTTATAGGATTAGAATAGAATTAGAGCTAGAAGGTCATTTAGTCCAACCCTTTTATTGTACAGAGGAAGAAACAGAGGCCCAGAGAGGATAAGTGATTTGCCCAAGGCCACATACTAATAAATTCTTTGGATTCCTTTACAAACAAGGAGATACAGCAGCCCTGGGTTTCATGTATTTAGAGTACAAGCTCATTTGCAAAACATCATGAAAGAAAATGACAGGAGGTTCTAAGTCTTTGATCACCTTACAAACCTACAAACAGCATTAGAGAAGCAAACTAGTCTGAGAAAACTTAGCCACAAGTCTCTGCTAAGTCCCAAGAAGCTTTTATAAACAAAACGGGAACGGAAATAGCAAACAGTTGCAAAATGAAACAGATTTGACCACCTTTTTGGGGGGGGGGGGGGGCGGCGAGGCAATCAGAGTTAAGTGACTTGCCCAGGGTCACACAGCTAGTGACTAGCCTGTGTCTGAGGCCTGATTTGAACTCAGGTCCTCCTGACTCCAGGGCCAGTGCTCTGTCCACTGCACCATCTAGCTGACCCTTGACCACATTTCTTAAATCAGTTCTCATCAGTGATGACAAGAGAATCTCTTGGGGGACTCCTAACAGCTCTGTGGCTGAGATGCTAAATGAGGAAATGAAAGCAGCATTGGAGCAGAGGAAGATGGGAAAAGCAGCTACACCTAATTAAATACACCCAGAAGAAATCCATGCAATTGTGATGGCTCTCAAGTGATGAATTTTACTGTAAGTGAAATACTAAAAGATTCCAAAGGAATGAAAAAGATCACAGAAGCTATAATCATCAACCAAGGAGAAAAAAAGGGAAACTGGAAAGACTGCAGCAACTACTAAGCTTTGTAATATGTTTACAAAGGCGTGATCTGTTCGTTAAATTATAATATGCATTTGGACAGACAACCCACTTGGACCAATCATTAGTATGTGTGTCTTGTTTAGACATTACACATAGCTAATGAAATGGGCTTGAATTTGAATAGGATGAAAATAGTGGGCTGGGTTGAATTTGGGATGTTGTATCATGCTTGCAGTGATTCCTATTGTGTTTGTTCTCTGATGCAAAACCTCATTTTTTTTTTTAAAGTGCCCTATGGCCTAGGGGTTCCAAATGACTCCTACTCTGGACTTATATGGAACCCAGATTCCTCTTGGGGACAGCCTGACTCCAAAGAGAAGGGATCAGGTTTCTCTCACCCTCTGACTCATTATTCCCCCACACTGAAGAAGTATGGGAAAAATCTAAAATGAAGCTTGGGTATGGCTCCTTTCCCTTTTTCTCCCAAGTTGCACTTGTGTTTAAGGGTCAGGCACCCAGAGGGTGGCTGCTACCTCCTGTTGCTAGAACAATCTGTGGTCCAGACCTCCCAAAATCATATCATTCATGAGCCTTGATTCCCGCTCCCCAACAAATCACATCCATCTTATTAGCCAATAGATAGAATTAACTGAAAAGTAATGACATTTCCTAAAATGGCATAGTGAGAATAATAGCTACAAAACATTCTCTCCATAAACCTGGGGATTTACTCTCCTACAAACACATGCATCCCTCCATCCATAGGAAGAGTGAGCTCAGACATAGTGACCCACATGTGGAGAACACATGCAGCCAAGACAACCCATATCTCTAGTCCTGTAGGACTTCCATGTACACTTTCTCTTCTTGTGGAATCCCCCTCCTACATTCCTCTGGCCACAGAGTTTCTGCTAGGCAGATCCATGAGCTGTGCTCCCAGGAGCTGCTCCCTGATGAAGCTCAATTCTCAACTGCTAGGGCTATTATGCTCTCAAGTCCAGAGAAGGATCTTCTTTACTGTGAGAGGACCCACTCCTTGAAGCTGCTTGCTGCCTTAGGTGACTAAACTCGTCTCCCTCTCTGTGTGTCCTGTGTATGTTTCTGAGAGTGGGGAGGTCTCTGATTCCCACAGGATGCTTTATCTCCTACTCAGGAAGTAGCTCTACTGCCATGGCCAAAGAGCATGAGAATGGAGATCATATCGCCTTCTCTCACCGTGCCCTCTCGTATAGGTGTAGGGATCATCCACCATAACGCTACTCTTAGTTTCATTGACTCCAGAGCTTAGCAAGCTAGCTTTTTAAAGGTGACTGAGAAAGTGGTCATTTCCCAACCAACCAACAAAGCAAACTGCTTCTCTAATTCCATCAGGGAGAGAGCTTCATACTTCCTAAAGAGGTAGCAGAGTTGTCTTCCCCATTAGATTGTGAGCTCCTTGAGGGCAGGGACTGTCTTTTGCCTCTTTTTGTATCTTTGGTGCTTAGCACAGTGCCTGCCACATAGTAGGTGCTAAATAAATGTTTATTAATTGATTGAGAGTGTCAACACCTTGTTGAACACTAACCATCATCTCTGTTGCTCTTTGCTTACTTGTGTTGTTTAGTCATTTTTTTCAGCATGTCTGACTCTTCATGAACCCATTTGGGATTTTTTTGGGCAAAGATTCTAGAGTGATTGTTTGCCATTTCCTTCTTTAGCCCATTTTACAGATGAGGAACAGAGGCAAATAGGGTTAAGTGACTTGCCCAGGGTCACACAACTAATAAGTGTCTGAGGCTGGATTTGAACTCAGGTCTTCCAGGCCCAGCACTCTATCCACCGCCACCACTTAGCTGCTCCAAGTTGTTGTCCAACTGTGTCAACTCTTCATGACCCCATTTGGGGTTTTCTTGGCAAAGATACTGAAGCGGTTTGCTATTTCCTTCTCCAGTTCATTTTACAGATGAGTAACTGAGGCAAAGAGTGACTTGCCCAGGGTCACACTGCTAGTAAGTGTCTGGTAACCGATTTGAACTCAAGAAGTCTTTCTGACTTCAGTCCCAGCACTCTATCCACTGCACCACCCAGCTGCCATCTTGCTTAGTTTTGCTCATTATCTGTGTTTATATCCTGGGGTGGAGAAAATTAGTTGGTCAAGGACTAACTCCTCCCATTTCATCTAGAGTCTCCCACAAGGAAATTAAGAGGATCCCTTCTAGAAAAATGAGGTATTAGTTATAACAGCTATTTATTTCCTGTACCACAAAAGAAATGTTTAAAAATAAACTCATAAGCATACGTTGACAAATTCCTAAGATATGAAACAATAACCCATTTCCATCATTATTTTGTTTTGGTCCCACCACCAGTGAAGGAGGGCAGCTGCTCTGCAATGCATCATTTTTGTCACCTAGGGCATGAAAAGTTAAGTGACTTTTCCAGGATCACTCAACCAGTATATCTCAGAGACAGGACTGGAAAGCAGGGCTTGAAACTTACTCCTAGGCAAGCTTTCTATCTACTCTGCCATGCTGCCTCTCCATCACTATCATTATCATCACCCCAAAAGGTAAAGGTGCTTTGTGGGGCTGCTGAACACATTTCATTTTACCCCAGACCTATACTAGCTGAACGACTTACCAGGTCCAGTGTCCTGTCCAGTTGGAAATGGCTCTTTCGTCTCCACAGATCAGGATGGTCCAGTAGGTGGTCATCTCCAAGAAGCACAGCTGCAGGAATCACCTTGCATTAGGTAGTTGCTACTGATAAGAACCCAGGAACACTCAACCTCATGAAGTAGCCTCTATAGCTAGAAAGGTCCATTTCATAGGATCATCAGGGAAGAAACAGGCAGAATCAAGGACCTGGCAAGTAAAAATCCTCACTGCCATGAGCTCAAGGTGGGGCCCTTATTGCTACTGGGGAGGAGGAAGGGAAATAAGAAAATAAATCTCTCCCGTCTCACTGAAAGTCCAAGGGAGAGTTGGCAGAGTTCCCCCCCCCCAAAAAAAAGCTTGCTCAAAGAGGGGTAGGGCCTTTCTCCTCAATTCTTCTCTAGGTTACTAAATGGACAGGCTCTTCCTGACTCATGCATCTATCATCTTCACACAACCCCAATTGTGGAGACTGAGGGACCACTCAGGAGTTGCTGAGTTATACATGTCAAAGGGGTCAGAGCACATGCCTAGCTCTATGGGAAGTACACTAAATACTAATCTTGTTATGATGTTCTGTGTCTGGGAATCATGGAACACCAACATCTTTAAAGAATCTTTAAAGAATCACATTTGGAGGCAGCTAGGTGGTGAAGTGGATAGAGCACTGGCCCTGAAATCAGGAGGACCTGAGTTCAAATGTGACCTCAGACCAAACACTTGACACTTACTAGCTGTGTGACCCTGGGCAAGTCACTTAACCCCAATTGCCTAAAAATTAAAAAAATGAAAAAATTAATCACATTTGAAAATGATCCAAAGAGCGATGGAGAAATATGTGTGGACGAAAATGGGCCATAGTAGGTTTGTTACCAATGCTTTAAAAAAGGGAGAATTTTCTCTAGTGACTAAAGAGTTAATGGACTATCATTAATCACAGTAATATCAGGAAATGCCCCAGTGGGACACGAAGTCCCTGAACTTCTAGTTTTCCTAATTGTGGCTTACAAACATATTCAAATCTCTTCCTTCCATTCACTCCTCCTTTCCAAATCTCACTGATCCTCCAAGGCAGAAGTCTTTCCAGTCCACCCACTAAGGATGTCTCACTTTTCAGAACTCCTCTGGTCCTTATAATCTCTTCCCACTCATATGGCTCATAAACTATCTTGTGACATCTCTCTTTTACTGTCATTAAACTCATTGAAGGAAGTCCCATCTCCCCAAATAGATTATGAGAGTTTTGGTTGTCATGAAGAGATTAGCTATGTTCTGGTTAGGCACAGGGGCAAAACTAGTAATAATTATTGGAAAGTTGCAAGGAGGGAGATTTTGGTGAAATATAATGAGAGAATTTCTGAACAATTACAACAATCTCAAAGCAGAATGGATGACCTCAGTGAGTAGTAAGTTTCCCATTCCTGGAGCTATTCAGGGGGAGGACAGATAACCACTAGTTAGGGGTGTTGTAGAGGGAATTATTCCCAGTATGAGTGGGCTGAGACGGTCCCTGAGGCTTCTTCCAGCTCTTCGATTCTGTGATTTTGGAGAAGTGGTGCCTAACTGAGCACAAAATCAATTAACAAGCATGTATTAAATACTTATTAAGTGCTAGGCATTGCTAAGCTCTGAGGGTACAAAGAAAGGCAGATACATAGTCCCTGCCCTCAAGGCACTCACAATCTACATGAAACATGAAACCAACTGCATACATAGCAATCCAGATCAATACAGCATAAATAGGAGTTAGTCTCAGAGGGGAGAAATTGGGGTGGGGGTGATGACTTGGGGAGGGGAGGATAAGGGAATGGGAAAGATCTCCTGAAGAAGGTGGGAGAGCAGTGAAGAGGGAGATCATTCCAGGCTGGAATGTGAAAAGGCATGAAATCAAAAGATGTCCCTAGAGTCACGTGCTAGTCAAGGGCTCATAAAAGTTTGAGAAGGGGAATAAAATGTAAGAAGATGGGAAAGGTAAGAAAATCATCACACTTACAGGCTTGAGTCAGGAAAACAGATCAGAGGATTATGAATTTAGAATTGAAAGAAACCTTAGAAATCATCTGGCTCAGCGTCCTCATCTTACAGGTGAGGAAACTGAGTCTTAGAGAGATGAAGCGACACCCAAGGGCACATAGCTAGTAAGAGGTGAAGCTAGGATTGGAACCTGTCTTCTGACTCCAAACCTAACACTGCATCACTGCCTCCAGTTGTAGCTTCACTCCCAGTTGACTGTGTGATTCTGGGCAAGTGACTTGCCCTCTCTGATCCTGTTTTCTTATCTATAAAATGGAAACACACGTTCAGCCTTTCAGGTAGTTGTGTGGACCCCATGGACAATGGATGTGAAGATGGTTTATGGTGCCACTGAAACCACACACACACGTTTCATTTTCATGGGTCACACTGGTGGTCACTGATTTGACGTCTCTGCCCCTCCCAGCCCTTACCAGCCAGGGAAGTGGGGATGAGTAGAGGAAATGGAACCAGCGTGGGAGGGAAGTGGAGACAATATAAAGTCCAGCCTTAGCTGGACCAGTAACATGCACGGGGAGAGAGACCAACACCATGAACAGTAGGAAGCCTGGGACAGGAGGTGGGTGAATGAAATTTATGGTGAACAGGAGTCAGTGTAAGAGTGTGTGTGTGTGTGTGTGTGCGCGCGCGCGCGCGCGCACGCACGCACGTGCACAGGTCAGGGTTGTCTGTGAAAAGGTGAATGTGATTGTGTGTGAGGGAGACAGTGGAGATAGGATTGCTTGACAAATCAATATGGGCAGGTGCTGTGGTGCTCGGGACCCTAGATCTGGACCTGCTCCTTGGGGTCTGAGAATTCCGAGCCCTTTCTAGCCCCTTTCCTACCCGATCTGCTCCGTCTCCCCAGTGGCAGGATTTGGGAAACACAGCAAGGGACGCCTCCCTCCCCCACCACAGTCCCAATCTCCCACTTCATTCCCTTCTCTAGGCCCCGACATCCAGTCTGGCTCACTCATCTTCCTAATGCTGCTGATGCTGACACTAGGCTTGGCCCTGGCCCAGGATGCAGGTGAGGAGAGAAGGGGGGGGCCTTGGTTAGGAAGAAGGTCCCTCATTCACTAACTGCCTTCTCTGCCCACCCCTTGGGTTACGCTATGGAGTAGGGACATGGGTGGATGAAAGCTTCTTCACCTGGGGTATGATGGGAGGCAGAATCCCTTGCCCCAGGGTGCAGCAATCTGCACACCCACTATATATTCTACATATCTATATATACTATAAGCCATTCTTGCCCACAGTGCTGCTGTGCCCAGAGAAGGCCCTGGATGTGATGGTGAAAAGGACAGAGTCTGAGATGTCAATGAGTAAGGAGGCATGAGAGAACTGGGAGGCGGGGGTTGGGGGGACATCAGTGGGCAGGGGCTAAGGGTAGGTGGACAAGGGCACCCATCCCTAAGGAGTAATATCCCTTGGCTTAGGAGAAATAGGGCTGGAGGCAAAGTTCTAGCTGTCACTATTGCCAACACTACCATCGGGCAAATCACAAACCCTCTGAGCCTGAGTTTTCCCATCTATAAATTAGGGTATGGATTAGATCAGGGGTGGGGAACTTGCAGCCTCAAGGCCACATGTGGCCCTCTAGGTCCTCAAGTGCAGCCCTTTGACTGAATCCAAACTTCACAGAACAAATCCCCATAATAAAAGGATTTGTTCTGCAACACTTGATTAGACCTGGATTAGATGATCTTTAAAGATCTTTTTGGCTGTTACATTTTAAGAACAAGTGTTACTTGACCCATCTTTCTCTTACCCTGCGCCACCACAGACCACCTTCGTTTAGCTATTCATACATTCATTCACTTATCCAAGTTCTAAGAGTTGTAGGCATGGAAGAGACATAGCTGAGGGTAGGGGTGGAGAGAAAAGGAAACTTGATAGAGCCAGTATTCATAATCGGGTACCTGGGGCAAATGGATGGGGAGGGAGGTAGGGAGAAAACACCTCAGATCTTGAGACAGAAAGCCCTCTGGGAGATCAAGAGGAAGCTGGGCAGGGCCAGTCAAGGAGCAGCTCACCTGGGATGTTAGGTTTGGGATTCCATCATTGCCTGTTTAGAGGTGGCCGTTCTGTGAACCTCAGGTCAACTAGGAAGCCAATAGTCTAGGCAGTTGCACAGGGTTAAGGGTCAGATGCTCCAGAGAAATTGGAGATGGCAACTGGGGTCCTGGCATAGAGCCAGCAGAACACCATGAGAAGTGGTCCCTGATGCAGGAAGAAGTCATAGTGGAGTAAACAGGCTCTCCAAGTGGACTACCCACCTGAGCCCTGAAAACTTCACCTTGGTTACAGCTTCGAAGCTCAAGACTAGCCTCGGAGAATACTCGCAATGAAGTAGATGAGAAAGTTGGAGGAGTCAGGGAAGGGATACAATAACAAAATAAAAGCAACAAAGGACATTTATATGGCATTGCAAAGTTTGCAAAATACTTTACGTTCTCATTTTACTTTGAATCCTCACAACTGCCCCATGAGGGGGCATATCATCCCCATTTTACAGATGAGAAAACTTGGGCCCCAGAGAGATGAAATTGGGCCATGGTCACACAGCTAGAAGATACCTGAACTAGGATTCAAACCCAGGTCTTGCTTACTCCAAGCCCAGTATTCTTTTCCACTGTGGCCCAAAAAGAGGAACTAGCTGGAGGAAGTGATCCATTGCTCCAGAGCAGGCAGAGGTGGCCGGGATGAAAATGGAAATTAGGTCTACATATTTGGAATCAGGCTGCTGGTGACCTCTGGAAAGTGGTTCCAGCAGAAACGGCTAAGAAGTCAACAATTTTAGGAGCAGGAGAAGAGAACTAAAAAGCCTTAGGGTCTACCCTCTATTCCAGGTGAGGCCATTTCCTTCCAGTGGCTTTAGTTTCTTTATCTGTAAACAGATGAGGGTGGGGAGGGAAACTGGATGTGCATGCTTGTTGAAGGCACACAGTAGGTGTGCAATAAGTCTTTTCCAGCCGAGACAGGAGTTTGGGAGAAAAGGGGAGGAGCAAGAAGAGAGTCATAGTTGGCCCTAGGACTAAGAACACTTCGTCTCCCGCCTCCTCAGCTGGGACACTGATCCTGTCCTGCAAAGGCTGCAGTCAATTTGCCCACTCCAGCTTCCTGTACTGGCTGGGTAACCGTTCCTTCACGGAACACCTTCCAGGCAAACTATGGGAGGACAAGACTCGGTAAGGAGGGGAAAGGGCTTGTGAGGGAGGCTGGGAGGAAAGGCTATACGAAGCCCAGGGTGCTCTGCTCTCCCTCACCTACCCACACCCTCCACAGGAGGCAGCAACAGAGTGGAGTAACCTGGCTACAGCGAGACCTTGTACTGGAGGAGCTGAGCCCCACTCTGCAGAGCACCAACTTCTCCTGTGTTCTAGTGGACCCGGCGCAGGTCATTCAGCACCACGTGCTCCTGGCCCAGCTTGGGGTGAGGATAATGGGCGTGGCCAGACGGAAGGGGCAGAGCAGGCACACTGACTACATGGGGGTGCACGTTGAAGCAAGGTGGTGTGTGGTGTTTAAGGATACAGTGCCAGAAAAGCCCCTCCTCCCTCCCTTGTCGTCTTGAAAAGGATGACCCAGAGGAGGAGAGTAGGAAGCATGGGCTCCCTGCTCCAACCCAACAAAGTCCAGAGATGCAGCGGCACATTTAGAAAGAGGCCTAGCTAGAGAAAGGGCCTCGTCCAGGTCATCCATCCAGATGTTCTCGGAAAGCAGAGAAGGGGTCACTTTCTCAGCACCTACTAGATAAGCCTAGTCCTGTGAAGGGCTGAGGTGGGGTTCCCTCAGAAGCACCCCCAATCCTAGGCCTTTCCTTCACCCGACACTTCCATTTCCCATCAGGAGTCTGATACATCATCCCAAACTCCAAACCTCAGCCACCAGCCGAGGAGTCCCAGTCCAGTCACACCCCTGACAACTTCCAGACCTGGGGAAGAATCCCAGACGGCCACCCCAGTGACATCAGACCAGCCCTGACCAGTAGAGGCAGCAGAGATGGGACAAGAAGCCTTCCAATAAAACGTTAACCCCAGGCGTTGTCTGGCTCTTCATCCTCGGCCCGAGTAATCAGATTCCTCAAAAGGGTCCCAGCAGGTGTGATAGGTGGTCTCTGGGATCTGTTCCTCAGGCCTCAGCTTGATAGCCCAGCACCCTGAGCTGGATGACTGGCCATGGCAGGGAGGGGTCTGCACACCAACGGCATCATGCCATTTGGAGCTGCTCCTTAAGAGAGCATCCGTTACATGTGGGGAGAAGTGATTTCTCCAAAATCCCCCGGACAAAAAGGAGCAGTCACAGCTGAATCTCAGGAACTCTTACTTAAAAATCCAAAAATTGTTCTACTAAACCCTTTAAAAATCAGAGGAAAAGAGCCTAGAAAATTGAGAAAAGAAGGGGTAAAGGAAGCCAGTGAGTGGGGAACCAATGCTCAGAAGGGGACAAGCAGGATCTCAGGGGCAGGTGGGGGCAATGCCAGGCAAAGAAAAACCTGGAGGCGCTCTCTTTCACAATCCCTTCTCTGAGGGGAGCAGTCTGGTGGCCTCGCCTAGTACCAGAGGGAGAAACAGGCCTTGGGGGCCCCAGCCAGCACAGGGGAAAAGGGGCAATGTTGAGAATAAGTAGTTTAAACCACCCCCTCCCCTCCCGCCCAAAGCCAGTCCAGCCCTCAGGGAGAAAAATAAGACTTTATTTACAAGTAATAACATTTAAAAAATTCAAACAGATGACCCCCAACCCCACCACCCTCCCTTCTACTCCAGGTCCCATTATACCCTCCCTATTCCTTGTCTCTTCAAAATCTTTAAGGAGCAGGGAAGCAGTTAGTACCCAGAGGAAGGAAGTGTCATGATGGGTATCTCTGACCACCCCCTGAACCACAGGGGCAGAGGATGGGAAAGGGGACACAGCCATCCAGTCTGTTTCCCCAGGTTGCCCTTAAAACAGGTTCCATCAGCTGGGGGTGAGGTGGCCTGAGGGCCTCAGGGTCGTTTGTCTGCTGGCAAATGCCTCCTCAGGGCAGCTAAGCACTGAGAGGCAGGAAAGAGGCTTAGAGGTGGCAGGGGCTGCTGAAGCTTTTAGTCATTAGACAAGGAGGAGGATTGTGATGGGGGCTGGGGGGGGCCACCTTTGGGGAGAAAGGCAGAAGAGCCCAGGCAGCTGGGGTGTAGGTAGCAGAGACTCTCTTCCACAACTAATTTTGGGAACTTGGCTTCTCCAATGTCAGCCCCTGGAGCAACCACAGCCATCAGCACAAGAACCATCCCTAGGGATGGAGCTAATGGGAGGCATAGGGGACCAGGAGGTGGCAACAGGACTTTCCAAAACTTGTAGCTGAGACAGCTGAGGAAGGGAGGAAAGGGGAGCTGGACAGGCTGGTCCCTGGGGCCTGGCCACCTAGACAGTCTCAGTTTGACTGGGTCTTCCATTCTCTGCTGGAGAGCTAAGAGGGATTACTGTGCTTCAGGGTAAATGGGGGGACAGGTAGAGGATGATCTGGCTAGGAATCAGCCAGGCCCCAGCTCCCAGCTCCCAGCTCCCAGGAGGCAGCCTTCGGTTCCCCATTTGCCTCCCTGGGAAGGTGTGCTGTGTGGGACTCCAGGCAGAGGGAGTAAGAGGCAGGTATCAGTGTCCCTGGGGAGATGAGAAGTCTCCCTATGCTGGAGCACTGAAAGAAGGCACTGGAGAACAGTGGGCTGAGGCCCAGCACGTGGGCCCCGAGGGAGAACAGGGAGCTGTCATGGAAGATATGGGCAGAAGATGCTCACAGATCCTGGTCCCTCAGTGCTTTGCCTGAAAGAGACAAGATAGAAAGGTAGGTGAAGGACCTTAGAGCAAACGACCCACTCCCTAAACTGGGGGACTAGCATTTCTTTTCTCACAATCCACTGGATATCTAATGCCCTTAAGCTTCCCCACAAGAGTAAGTTAGGGGTCCTGAAACAATTTTTTCACGTGTGAATCTTGGCCCCAAACCAGACCAAGCTCCCCAAGGTTAGGCAGAGGGTCAGAGCACTTCCGTCCTGGGTCAAAGGTGTCCCCAGACCATCATTATTTGCATAGGATCCTTGGGGCAGAGAGGGGCAGTTATGCAGCAGTGAGACAGATCCGTGGTCTGAGGAGGGTTGCAGGGAGGTCAGTAGATTGGATGGAGGCACACTGCCCTGGGAGCCCTGATGCCTGGGGAGACCCCCACCCTCCCCGGCTCCCTACCTTGCCCCTAGCTCGAGGAGAAGTGCTACTGCCAGCAGTGGTGGTGGCAATGCGAGGGGAGCGGCGGGTCCCACTTCGAGTGAGGGGGGAGGCCTTGGCTGCAGCTTTCTTAGCAGCCCCCCGAAGCAGGCTGTTCCCCAGTCTCTTGGGTGTGTTCAGAATGTTGAAGGCCAATGACTGGCGTCTGCTGGTCTGAAAAGAAAGAGAAAAAGAAAGCTGCCTACATGTGGGTGGGTGGGCAGGCAGGCAGGGCAGTGCCCTGCTCTGTGTGAGAATATTCTCCATCCACAGCCTTACCTTTGAGATGAGCTCAATGACCCCTCAGGGTTCCTGCACCCCGCTCAACCCTGCCCCCCACTCACCTGCTTGTTGGAAGCAGGAGCCCCTTTCTTGTGGCCCTCAGCGGCACTCATCTTCCGACCTTCATGTCTATCCCGGGGAGTAAGGGGACGAGGGAAACAGCTGGTTGGCTTCTTAGCCTGTGGAAGAAGAGGGAGTGGGGGACAGTAGAGCTGGAGCCTCCTGGATTCTCCTGAAGGAGACTGGGAGGTAGCCTGGGGGCTGGCTTGAACCCTGCTCTATAATCAGAAGGCTGAGACCCTTAAGTGATGGATGGTGTGGAGCTTGGGAGAAGAGAGCAGTCACACCCAAGGAGGCTCATGATGGGTAAACAGTAGATGGTCAAACATAGAGACAAAAAAAAACAGGCTAATGGGACCCAGCAGGGTCCCACGACATGACACAAAAAGGGGTCTCTCCTCACAACGTGCCCTAGCAGAGAAAGCCCTGAACTTCAAGGTGGGAGACGGGGCCAGAGGCCATGTTTTACTGCCAACCTCCTCTGTGAGATTCAGTCTGATCAGCTATAAAGAAGTGATGGTAATCCCAACCAATGGCACCCCTGATCCCATCTCCCTGTGAAGATCTAAGAGTGGGAAATGAAGCACAGGGGACCATGTACCTCAGGAGTGCCAAGGCCTTGGTCAGGCTCAGTAGAGACACGCTTCCGGTGCTGCCGGGTAGTGACACTTGAGGGGAGACGATGGGTAGCACTGTACTCATTGATCTGGGCCGGCTGCATGCTGGCTCGGCGAAGGGTCTCCTGGGGATCTCCAGTCTTCATCTCCTCATCTGTAATGGTGGTCAGGCTCATGGAAGGCTGAGGGAAGCATGGGACAAAGACAAGGTAGGTATGAGACAGGCAAGTAGCTTGTAACACAGTGTGGGCTGGGGCTTTAGGGGTGGTTCCCAGGGCACATGTATGATGGCCACACTTGACTTACGAAACTTAAATCTTCTCACTCGGGGGCTCCTACCCTGCTTGAAATGACTACCCAAGGTTAGAAAATTGATCTGAGAAACCCATGGACAGAGCAAATATGATTAGTTTCTGCCATGGAAATGTCTACCTGAAGACTCAGTATAAAGGATAAGTGGGGATGGATACTCAGAGCAAGGATAAGTAAGAGTAGATATCCTTTTGAGGCAGAAGCACATTCAGGCATGGGGGACAGGAAGGAAGAGAGGGGGCCTGATCTCTGCATCCACCTTGGGGGGGCCTAAAGGGCTCAATGGCAGAGCTGACAAAATTGTACAAAGCTGGGCTAATGAAAGTGGCCAAAGAGAAGGGAGAAAGGCCATGCTCTGGGGGGGAGGGGAGAAGAGGAAAGGGTTGGGGGTCTGACCAGTGGTGCTGGCCTCACCCTGGCCTCCAAGGGGTAAGAGGTCTTCAGGTGGGGGAGGCAGACACGGTTACGCTGCTGCAGTTCTGCAATTCGGTTCCAGTCATCCAGCTGCTCTGGCTCATCCTGGCAGGTGCCCGCATAGAAGCTGCTTCGACCTGTGAGGGACAGGAGGGGAGTGGGATAGGAAAAAGAGGCAGGGCCTAGAGGGGATGAGCCAGATTTTCTGCACTGAACATTCTGCTTCCTGATGTACCTTAAATCCACTGACCCCCAGAGATGATAAAATTTGGAGGAGACCAGGGATTCTCTCTATCCCAAAGCCCTTCCCATAAACCTCACTAGATGCCTTCTTTGGGTGTGGGTGAGAGAGGCCCAGGGAAAGAGACTGGAGCAGCAGCCCCCAGTGCCTGCACTGACCTGAGGGACCAAAAGGCAAATGCCTGGAACTCCAAGTTCTGAGACAAGGTGCTTAAGATAATTGATTATTATCCTGAGCGAGTCAAGAAGACTAAGAGACACACCTGGGGCCACACACAGGAAGAGGCAATCTAACCTTCCACGGCCTCTGACAAGTTTGCTTCTGATTACCTAAGGCTAATGCTAAGCTAATGCCAGGGAACAATGCAAAGAGAGAATTCACAGTGGAAGGAAACTAGATCTGGAGCAAGAAGACCTGCTCACAAATCATGACCACACCACACACTGGTTTTTTTGGGGTTGGTTTTTTTTTTTTGTGAGGCAATTGGGGTTAAGTGACTTGCCCAGGGTCACAAAACTAGTAAGTGTCAAGTGTTTGGTCTAAGGCTGGATTTGAACTCAGGTCCTCCTGACTTCAGGGCCATTGCTCTATCCACTGTACCACCTAGCTGCCCCACACACCACACACTGTTAATCAATATTTATGAAGCACCTACTATGTCTGTAGGCACTGGGATAAGTGATGAGAATGCTCTGAAACACCAGGTTGCAGTATGATTTTTTTTCAGCATCCCAATTATGAACCCCGCCCCCACAGACTGATTTTAAATTTAGTTTGCAGTCCCTGAGAGCACACACTGGCTTGGCCTGGAGGCTGAATGGAGCATGTCAAGAAGTGACACAAAGCAGCTCTAGACAAGGTAGATTAAAAATATTCCAA